ACAGCAGAACCCGGTGGAGCTCATCAGTCTGCTGCGGCGTTAAGTTGGAAGCGATCATCGAAGTAATAGTTCTGTCGGAGCAAGTGGCAGATTGATAATGAGCGTGAGGTTCAGAAGGAGCAGCCATCGCGAAAACATATACCGCATTGTCTTCTAAGGTGCAGAACAACGCCACAGAGATCCCTTACGGCAAAACTTGAGGTGTCAAGCTAAAATTGACAACTGGGAGGCACATAGAATTTCCTGCGACGGATAGAATGGTGTGCGGTAATGTAATGCCACGGCTTATGAGAACATCGGTGATAGGGGTCAGAACATAGTCACTGTCGGGAACTGGTGATATTGAGACGAGCTCTATGTAGGTCAGTGTCTGTGGAGGGAGGCACGCGTGTCCCGTTGTGCAGAGGCGACTCGGCCGTTGTGTAAGAGGTTCTGTTGCAGGCAAGTGTAGACGGAGCGTACTGGTCGAACAGTCTATGAGGGCAGAAGGCGCGGACAGGAAGTCGAGGCCTAAGATTACGTCGTGGGGGCATTTATCAAGGACGGTGAAGAGAACAACTGTGTGTCGATCCGCAACGTTCACACGAGCGGAGCACATTCCAACGATAGATGCTATTCTACCAGCCGCAACACGGACGAACTGAGTGGTCGCAGGTGTGAGAACCTTCCTGAGCTTGCGGCGAAAATCACTCGTCATCACGGAAAGTTGGGCGCCGGTGTCGACAAAAGCAGTGACATGTACGCCGTCTACTTGTACGTCTATGAGGTTCCGTTTTGTCGGTATCGTCAAAAGAGGATTTTCGGTCAATCCGAGCGATGCAGCACCACCTCCGGGGGCTGCAACGCTTAGTTTTCCGTCGGGGAACCTCGTGGGAAGGCGGGGGAAGATGGTCGGCGGGGCTGTGGAGAATGAGACTGGCGACGTTAGGGGGATGGAGAGCGGGAGTAGCGGTGTTCAGAAGCAGGTTTCTGGGCAAAATGGTCGCGGCTAGTCTCATGGCGATAGGCAGGACGTGCATGGAAGGGACGAGAGGACGGTTGTGCAGGAGGACGCCAGCGACTTCTGCAATGGCGAGAAATGTGCCCGATTCTGTGACACGAGAAGCGTATCGGCTTGTCATCGTGTGTTCGCCATGCGGACGGATTACGGAACGTTGAGGGAGAGCCGGTCGGAAAGGGACATGCAGGCGTGTATCGGGGCTGGTAGTCGGTGCGGGGAGGCGGTGAGATAGAGTGAATTCTCAAGCTGGCGATTTCCTGCCGGACGACTGCTTGAATGAGAGGCAACGTAATTGGCGGAGAGGGGTCAGGGGACATTGGTCCCACCTTAGCTGGAGCAGCCGCTTCAAGCTCCCGCCTGACGATTCGCGTCAAGTTGTCACAGGTGTCTGGTGGATGATATGTGTCGAGACACGAGGACGTCGCAGTGGTGTTCGGGAGGCGCTGGAACTGATGGGAAATGCGTCTGCTTTTAGCTTGTTGAAACCGGCGGCATTCTTGAATGATCGAATTAGGATGAACCCTTTAGGATATGCGCAACTTTTTCAGGTTCAGACATTTTCGTCAGCTTGGCGGCATAGTGAAAGGACAGCCTGAATATAACCGATGTAGGGCTCCATGGAAGATTGTGCGCGAGTTGACAACTCATTTTTCGCAGCTTTACAACGACCAGAGATGTTGCCAAAAAGCTCTTGGATCTTTGCCTTGAAGCTGTCTCAGGTTGTAATGTCATGCTCGTGGTTATCAAACCAAACACGAGGGGTTTCGTCGAGATAAAAGATGACGTTTGCGAGCATAAGAGTGGGATCCCACCTGTAAGTGACGCTGACGCGTTCGTAGAGGCGTAGCCACTGGTCAACGTCGAGACCCTCGCTGCCCGAGAACACGCCGGGGTCTTTGAGCGCGGGAAGCGTCACGAAAGTTGTTGCGGGTGCTGCGTTGACAGGTCGGGCAGAAGGGGGAGTGACCGGAGAGGATGTAGCCGAGTCTTGAGTGGTCATGTTGTAAGCCGCGAGGGAGCGTCCGCTTCGGAGTTCCGTGGCGAGGACGGGGATCGCACAACTCCACCAAATATGTTACGGAAAGGAGACTGACTCAGAGGGGTAGTCACCGATGTATTCACAGCCGGTTATGTGAGCAGCGCCAGCCACATTGATTAGCTCGTGCCAGTCTATCTGCTTTGTCTTCTTCAGCTACATGCACTGGCACGTAGCAATATTATAGCGCAGCACACGACTTGCAATTTAAAAAAATTCTGAAAGTCAGCTAAAAATTGCTTTCTCCTCTAGGCAAATGACGCTGCAAGCTCAAAGATCAGTCGTCACAGCCATTGTATTAGCCATTGGCTGATTTGAGCATGGTGCACTTGTTAGACAAGTGGCGGCAGCAGGAGGCTGCCACTTTTCCATGCGTACGTGTGCGATCGCACTGAAAAAACGCGCGTTCGAAAAAAAAAAGAGAAAAGTGCTCAAGGACCCATGTGCATGACATATTTTTTTTCCCGTGCCATTCCTCCCTGCTCAGCTTCCTGCGCTTTCATCGAAACGAGAAGAGAGAATGCACTCTCAGTGTGTGACAAATCTTTGCAACTTAGTTTGTACTGAGCGGATTGTAAAACTTTCGCGGCAGTGAATTATTGAGGCAACAAGCTTATTTAGTAAATTCATTCCATGGCTACTTACAAAAGTGTTGCAAGGCTTCTTTAAATGAGTATATTACCCTCAAATCAATGCATCATTTTATTAAGCTTAAAGGGCCAGTAAACAGCCCTGAGGTCAAAAAATTCTTAAAAAGAGACATATGTGCAGTTTTTCTTTTCCAACATACAGCCACAAGAATATAGCAAATACGTGCTATATTAAGGTAATTACAGGGGTAGAACATGGGTCTAAGCTGGTTTCAAATTTTCGCACGGCCTGGTCCCCCTTCTTCCTTCCACGAAGGGGAAGACGTAGCCCATTGTCGTACCTCCGCCCACTTCGGCAATGTGACACCACATTAGCGATTGACATTGTCGGCAAACTCAATCTGCGATCAACGTCATCGGCAAACTCCATCAGTCGCAACGCACTTCTGCTTGCTACGAAACGTGGTTGTTTGTTTACCATTTGCTGCACCAGCCGCGGGTCAACCGTGTAAGCGTCAGGTGCGAAGTGTCGACCACAAACGATCAGGGCCCCGATGTACGTCGCTGGATGGCCGATTCGCTTCAGCCATGCAGCGCGCAGGGCTCCATCGTGAGGCACCTGGTGCTGACGCTTCTCCGCTGCCCAGTCGCTCAATTTGCAGCGAATGACAGAGCAACGCTTTTTACCCGTGTTGCTCATGTCAAGGGCGAAGTACGTTTGTACATGCGCACAGACGCTATAGTTGAGTGAGGAGTGTACATGTGCACGCGACAACTGCAAGGCTGGTTCTTTCACCGCAGTGCCAAGAAACAAGGGGCAGTTTCGTAGCAGTGGGTGGGAACAGGAACTGACGTTGATTTCACTACTGTTTTTTCACACCTGATTTAGACCAATCGGCAAGCTGTGTGCTACGTCACGTCACCGAGTTGACGTCACTGCGCATGCAAGGGGGTCGGTGAGGCGTAGGAAAGATGCGCGGGAATTGTTTTTTGAAATAGAGGCTCTGTGTGGCGCGCAGCCCTGTAATATTCAGAAAACGTGATCGCTGCGGTCTGCTCTACAAATTGCCAAGCTCGTATGGGGGGTGTAAAAAAAAAGTCGGAGCCTATTTACTGGCCCTCTAAGAGGACAGACTGGTCTTAGACATTTTTTTGTTTATATTTTCAGTGAAATTATGGAAGTTTTTTGTTGTTTTTAGGCCTTTCTTGGTTATTTTACAGCAAAACGAACTATTAGTTTTCAAAAGCAGTTGGAATTGTGTTATGATTTTGATGAGTAATTTAATTAAATGAGCTTGTGCTCTAAATTCTGCTCTACTTGCATTCTACACACATACAGGTTTCCATTGCAAAAAGAATTATTGCTGTACCTGCCCTAACTGCAGAGATATTGAGGCCTCAAAACTGAAAAGTCGTAAATTTACTTTTTTGAGAAGAATGAAAAAAACTGAAAACAGATAGCTTCTTCAAAAAGCAACAATCATGGCACACAAGTTTTGCAATTCTCATAAAGGTGCTCATAAATTCGTAGCAGAACTTCTAACACAGATGCCGGCAAATTATAAAGAAGCCTCTAAGTCTGTTCCTAATTTTTTTTTGCAGGTTCTGCATGTTAGCAGTACCAAGAATCTGGACAGTTAGAATGACATTACAAGAAAATTACTATTTCCTGGTGTGTGAAAATTTGCTGAGAGATAGAAAAAAACTTGTAGAAACCAAATATGTAAATCTTAAAAAATGAATTTTTTTTGGTCACTTTTTGGTCCCAAAGACCAGTCTGCCCCCTTAAAACGAGCTTGTTATGAAAGCTTATATGCTCCAAGTATAATAAATAATGCTATGTATTTTATGGGTTACGACTTGCATACTGCTGGAAGTCAAATTTTACTATTACTCAAAGTTGTTTTGACTTCCTTTGAATGAAAAAAAAAAAGGCATTTGCATAGAGGTCCTATTTAAATTAAAAAAAAATATTGTGCAGGTTGGTTAGGTTATGATGAATATGCTCATTTTTTTAGGTCACATATGCTATGCAAATTCGATTCAAAGTTGAACCAAATCACTATTTGCTTCAAACTTGAAATTCACTATTCGCACAAGCCTACGAGTTAGGCTTTATATAACCAACAGCTATGTCATATAAGAATATGCCGCAAATACAACTAACAAAATGCAGCCGGGTGTTTCAGTCACCAATCAAGTTATGCAAAACCCTTGACAATATTCTTATAAATAATGGACATCCATTAAAATAAGTATAATTAATCTATAAATACAGCTTTTAATATCCTGATATTGTCCAACACACTTCGAGGTACAACTTGTATTAAAATGCTCCAGCTCAACTTTTGAAACAAGGTCTGGTCTGGCGTGCACTTTTTGCACCTCAGCTTTATTCAACTTTTGACACATTTATATTGTGTGCCAATAACGTAAGTACACCAGCACATCTTCAATCCATGTAAGTCACAATGCAGTCCTTGTTGCCAGTTGTAAGCACCACTACTACACTGCTCTGAGCAGTAGAACTTCAACATCAAACAGCCATGGCACATTTTCCAATCTGACATTGCCCTCTCACAGCACTGCACACTTTCAGTACAATTTAGACAGAAGCCCTCGAACCTCCCGGTTTTGTTTTCTTTACAAAAGTCACAACCTCCATTCACTACTGTGGGCTAGTGGTCATAGTGCTCGACTTCTGACCCAGAGGTCAGGGGATCGAATTCCGGCTGCTGCATTTTAAATGAATAAAAAAATGTTTGAGCCCATTTACTTAGGTTAAAGTGCATGTTAAAGAACCACGAGCGGCATCTCTCAATACATTGTGGTTTAGGGGCGTTGAACCCAAACTATTATTATTATCAGTTACAAGCTCCAATTGTCAGTTCTAGATTGAACAATTTCATAACGAAGGCTTGACTAGTAATGCTCTTTATTTTGTTCAAGCACAAAACCATCAGTCAAATAATTTCACTTGCACCTGCCACTATGAGTACACGATGCACATGTGTGACACATCGTCCCCATTCTTTTTATTCTTCCCCACCGACACAGTCTTGGGCTGCTTTCCAGAAGATGCCTCTGCTTTCAAAGTCATGTTGTAAGCGGCATCAAAGGTGAGGTCACGTTTGTCAAGAAGACACTCCCGCAAGGCATCGTCCCGAATGCCGAACACAAAGCGGTCCCTTAACATGACATCCATAGCAACTTCTCCACCTCTAAAATCGCAGTCTTTTACAAGCTTCCGCAGAGCCATCGCATAGTCCATCACGGATTCACATGGTTCTTGGTTTCGCTTGAAGAAAAGAAACCTCGCTCGAAGCGGGGACCGCTTGCCGCCCAAGTGCTCGCGAACGACTCGTTTTATCATTGAGTAAGACACTTCCATTGGCTTCTCAGGCTGGACCAATCGCTTGATGAGCCTATTCGTCACTTTTCCACAACATCCAAGTAATACAGCACGCAACGCTCCGTCTTCTGAGATGTTGATGGACTTGCAGTATCTTTCCAATTGTTCAGTGTATTTGTCCCATGTAGCGAGTGAAGAATTTGGGTGCATGCAATATTCTCCAAGTTCGTCCACTACGTTGATGTAAGTGTAATGATCCCGTTCATTGCTTTGTTGCAACGTGTAGCATTCCACAACCTGTAACAAATATGCATTTGCACGAATTTCAATCACAAGGATCATGATATAACAATCAATTTGTCAAAATGGTTGATCGAACAAGTTAGTGATTCATGATGGATTGAAATAGTACGAGCGTGATACAGGGACAGTAAAAACGCGAACAAGCACTTGGTGTTGCTTGAAGAAGAGTGCTTGTCCATATCTTTCCTGTCCCCGACTACATATCGCGTTCGTATTTCAATCCATCACAACAAAATTTTAACGCGATTTTGACAGCTTGAAGAGAAATCGTACCAGCAATCACCCTCTTCACATAGCAAGTAAACACTTCTCCAAACAAGACTGCTTGCTTCAACATGTGCACCGCAGTTTCACATTTGCGTGTGCAGTGCAATTCGCGAAAACGCATTCGAGTAGATAAAGTGTTCTGGGTACTTATCGCTTGTTGACGTGATAAGACACAAAGACCGCACATCTCACACAAAAAAATGCCAGGCCTGTGCGGAACGTGCAGCACATTCACAGCGAAAGCTTGAAGAGCGACCTTTCAGAGCCTCTTTTAAACACTCTTGGTAACTGCTACCAGTACCTTTGCTGGGTACCCACTATGCCATAAATAATCATAAGTTTTGTGCAGTGGACAGGCATTCATTATGCTATCCTTCATTTTTTTGGAGAAACCTGATATCCACTACCCCCTTCCAAGGAATTTTGTTCAAGCTTTTTATGCAGTGGCTGACAATGATTAAAAATGATTGTCAGCCACTGACAATGATTTTGACAATACTGTATGCACCACAGTTCACAGGTAATCAAGAACAAGCTTTTGGAATGAGTTGGAGCATTGGACGAACCACCAGTTATGCAATTCGCATTGTGTGACGCCTGGTTGTTTCTTTGCTCTTCTAAAACGCTTTATTACTCATACTACTAATGCAATTCCTTTCCCGACATCAAGCTTGCCTAAGGCAAGTTTGCAACGGAGTTACAAACACTGGTGTGGCTCTGCGATAGAATACTGGGCTGGCGCACAGGAAACCCAGGTTTAAATCCCGCTGTGTCTTTGACGTTTTTATTTACCAATTTTTCTGTTATTTCGAGCGATAATGGTTATGGACACTAGCAATAGCGGACAACTACGATGCCACACCCTACACTTGTTGTGATCCTATAACAGCTTTCGCTGTAAAACATCGCAGGTAGGGTGGCATCAATATACCGTAAAATATAGGTCAAATAAAAAAAATTCAATAAAAATTCGACCTTTCTCTTATATACTGACCATTGGCAGAAAAACATGTGGAAGTCTCACAACAGTCGGCAGCTAAAGTCGAAAGCCTCCATTGCTATTGTGAGCATCAGCAGTGGCGCTTTTGGGCAATGCTGGGTAAGGCCTACAGTGTTCTAGCATCTCCATTTTACCTCGGTTATCTGCTGTCAGTATGCTGTTTTCTTTTTTCTATTTTCTTCAGAAATGAGTGGTAGTCGACGGCAGTTTATGATAGGCTTTAAGAAAAAAGTTATCAAGTATGCCTAAGCGCACGGCAACCTGGCGGCACAAAAGGAATTCAGTGCATCGAACAAAAGGGTTAGATACTGGAAGAGCCAACAGCAGCGCATAACATCCTGCAGCAACCAAAAAAAAAAACATTGTTTCATGGAAGGACCGTAGTGCACCCCGAACTGGAAACGCTACTTGCCGAATCCATCAGGGAGCTGCGTGCAAGGTCACTACCCATGAAAGCAAAGTGCATCCGTGTGAAAGCTCCCGAGATAGCACGCAACCCTGGGCTCACGAGAGTGCAATTCAAGGGATCGCCATGATGGGTGCCCCGTTTTATGAAGTGGAAGGGTTTTGCGCCGAGGCGGCGTACTTTCGTCTTTCCGCAAATGCTGCATAAGTAATGCGTTAAATGGAACAAAGGGCAATGCACTAATGAAAAACGGATGTCGTCGGAGTCATGTTCAGAGTAGTCTGAGTGACAGCACTTTGTGATTGATTTGATTGATTTGTGGGGTTTAACGTCCCAAAACCACTATATAATTATGAGAGACACCGTAGTGGAGGGCTCCGGAAATTTCGACCACCTGGGGTTCTTTAACGTGCACCCAAATCTGAGTACACGGGCCTACAACATTTCCGCCTCCATTGGAAATGCAGCCGCCACAGCCGGGATTTGATCCCGCGACCTGCGGGTCAGCAGCCGAGTACCTTAGCCACTAGACCACCGTGGCTGGGGACAGCACTTTGTGGCCTTCTGGCGTGTAACTACATAATATTAGTGTCCAAATAAAAAGAAATGTAACCACAGTGCACCTGGTTGTCTCGCGTAGTTACCAAGGTAAGGGTGCGCCATGATACTTGATTCAATGTGGCAGGATCGACCTATATTTCAATCCAACCTACATTCCGGTTTTCAGGATACATTAGCATGAACCAAGAGTGCAACCTCATTAACTGCTATGTGGGGTTTAACATCACAAAACCATGATATGATTATGAGAGACGTCGTGGTGGAGGGCTCCGGAAATTTCGACCACCTGGGGTTCATTAACGTGCACCCAAACCTGAGCACATGGGCCTACCTTAGCCACTAGACCACCGCGGTGGGGCGAGAGTTCAACCTCAATGCCTATCTCCAATCTGATGGTTTATTGTATTTATTCAATGGTTAGAGTGAGAGAACTTCTGAGTGTTCTTAGCCTCGCAAAGAGGTGTTTCGAGCTGCAATTTTAACACTTCTCCTTAAGCAAGGAAACGAAAACTACAAGAAACATTATGTTTGGTCATGTAGCCAAGGAGAATGAAATACTCGCCTTTGGGAGTGGCAAGACCTCAGATGAGGCAGGGCTTGGCACACTTTCCTCTGGTATGCTCTCCCCACCCAAGTGGGCTACCTGCTGTCAGTCAACCAAGAGGTTATATTATTTCAAATGCATGGAGGGCACGTGAGTGAATGAAGATGAAAGGAAAGTTTAGAGAGTACAAATCATACTAAATGCAAGCCCAATTAAGAGATAAAAGCATTTTTGTACTGGTACTTCAAATTAATGATCAACTGGGCAACCAACCCTGTAAAAGTGTTAGCCCCTCAGTTGAACCAGGAATTTTCGCATAAATCTGTGAAGCTTTATTCCTGAGAAATTAGTATGTGCTCTCTTTCTAGTTGCATGACACTGATGGGTAAGAGAGAATTTTTTTGTCATGTAGTCTTCTGTGTGAAGAAAAGTCTACGACATGTGAATAGAAAATTGTAGGTTTCCAGCAAATAGTTACAAGGTCCAATAATTTCTAGTCGAATAGTTCAAAAAGTATGTAAAGAAAAGTGAGCATACTCATCACGGCCAAAGCAATTATTCTAAACAGTATTTCTTAATCTTGAAACAAGGAATGCGCAAAGGTCCTTCTTTTTGGTTCAAAGTCAAGAGAACACAGCTTTGAATAATAGCATCATTTAAATTTCAGTAAGATGCTGGTGATAACTGGCAAAATATGCTACATTCTGAAATTTATTATACTTAGGGATACAAGCCCGTATACAAGCTTTTAAACTTGATCAAATGGTCACTCGATGCAAAGGTAATAGCATGTTCACTTGATTGTAGAGAGGAATGTCGTGGCACGACTAATTTTTTTCAGAAAAGTGTTTTCACAGCATGACACTCCAATGCCACAGCAAAATCAGCTTTATGGGAGGTTGCATGATACACGTTCATTCATTCAATTCAAATACTGTGATAGTCGTTAGAATATTCAAAGTGCTTAAATTTCCACACATGCCCAGCAAGCTGTGCCGCATAATGGCCCTCCGGATAGCGTTAGTACAAGCCTCTGTTTGAAGAGAGGGCACTTGGCAACTTCACACGCCAGCCATGCTGCGCACAACTACAGGATTTGGTTGAGCTGCCTACAGCAGCTCCAGGTTTCCAATGCTTTTCAAACGAGGGGTGGATCATGATCCCTCCTCGAGCCTCTTGTCCGTGTTTTGCGACATTACAAATTGTAAATTCACTTGAAAGAGAGAAACTGTGATGTGTGGTCAACTGGAAATGCAGAAGTTTCTGTTTCTTATTTAAGAAAAGAGGCGCTGAACATTCTGAGGGGGGTGAAGATTTCTATGACTATATTTCAGGAGCATGCATCAAGGTCACAACCACCGAAAGATCGAATATTTCAGAGAGTGCAATGAAAACAGAATGTCCTCCCAAAAAGAAAATCTCGCTTCTTTCCTTTCTCATTTCTGCCTTTTTAAAAAGGTTTACTTTCATAACAGTCATTTGCACAACAAAGTAACCCGTACTATTATTCTGTTCGTATTGACCCCTATCGATAATTGATAGACTACAGAAACTATTCATAGCCCTATCAATAGTAAAAAATTTGAAAGTACACTATCAAATTAATCACGTGACCTCAATGCAGCGTATACTCCGTTCTTGAAGAGCTTGGCCAATGGTGGAACAGGATGAAGGGCAAGATGTTCTTTCACCACAATGCTTCACTGACATCTAATAATCAAGTTGAACTGTAGCACAAAGAAAACCGTTGCATATAGTGGAACCGTGTGGCTTCAAATTTTATATTGAATTCTCTGATTTTCTCAAAGTAAAAATATTAAGTGGTAATTGTTTCGATGTCATGCAACCTTAAAAGACAGGAAGAGAGCAGAGTGGGTCAGGGAAGAAACCGAGGTTAAGGATATCATAGTTGAAATGAAGAAGAAATGAACATGGGCCGAGCACGTAGCACGTAGGCAGAATAACCGATGGTCATTAAGGGTAACTGACTGGATTCCCAGAGAATTCGAACGCACGAAGGGGAGACGGAAAGTTAGGTGGGCCAATTAGATTAAAAAGTTCGCAGGTATAACTTGGCAACGAAAAACACAAGACCGGGTTGATTGGCAGACCATGAGAGAGGCCTTTGCCCTGAAGTGGGCATTGTCAGGCTGATGATGATGATTTGTCTTTATTCTGGCATAAATGAAAAGAAAATTAGTGCTTTGATCCATTTCTTGTTCGCTTTCACTTGTATTTTTTTACTCACCCTCTTTTACAATGCCATTGGCCTTCAGGGTACCAGCAAATATAATCTAATGAGACCAGTTCCACTCACGCCGCCAAATGTCAGCTTGTTTAGTTCAAAAACAAACACAAAACGGCTGTTTGATGCTATGAGCTCCATCTCAGAATGTGCGTATAACACGGCCACAAATTATAAAGGTAGATTATTCTACCCGGTATGTCTAAAAGCTTCAACAAGAAACATGGCATTTTGGGCTAGTTGGTATGACATGACGATTGTTATGTGCAATAACAGAACGATAACAAAGGGACTAGAAGAAGATGAGGGCTCATCTTCTCCTTGTCCCTTTGTTGTCGTTCTCTTTATCAAGCAAGAAAACTGAATGGCACCGCTCAGATTGTACAGCAAGTAGACTTCACAGTGTATCTTTTACTGGACACAAAGTCTGCCCACTGAAGAGTTCCATCTTTACCAGCTTGTCTACTGCGTACCTGACTTTCACAATGTGACGGCCAAGTCTAATCTACAAAATCTAGCCTACCACAGTGAGAGTGCTTTTAGATGTTCTTGCATAGAAATGTTTCTAACTGCAATTTGAATACTTAGACAAGAAAACCACAATTACGAGAAGAGAACATTAAGCCAGCAAAAGAGAACGGCATACTTGCCTTTGGCAGTGGCGAGGCTTCACTTGAGGCAGAGCTTGGTACATTTTGTTCCGGTAAGCTCTCGCCACTTGAGTCCCCGACCTGTTGTCAATTACCCAATAGATAGATGATTTGATTTAAATGTGTGGAGGGAAAAGAAAAAGAAGAAAAGCTTACGGAGTATATAAACACACATGCAAACACAATGTACAGATACTCAAACCCGAATATAACGAATCCAGATATAACAAAATTGGTTACATTGAAGTAAATGAAGAATAGCTCTGTCGTAGATACATCGCTACAAATATGTTTCTAACAAATATTCAGATACATATAACAAAGTATTTTGGTGGCAGGTGTGATCTTGTTTCAACCAGGTGTGAGTGTGACAGCTATGAAGTTCATGCAATTTGTTAAAGAAGTTTCGACAAAAAAACTTTCGTTTGTCTTTTATTTCTGCATCAAGTGAAAGGCCAATCCCTCAAGAGCTTATAAAATGTACTTGTCAGTGTGAGTGCATCCTGAAAAATTAAGTACAATATGCCTTTAAAAGCTGGTTCTAGTTCTTACTCTACCCTGACATCAGGACGCAGTATGATCTTCTCATCTTCTGCTCATGAAAAAGATATTGTGATGTTTTCTCAGTGTCCCTGCACCGTAGTGCTGTGGATGACACACAAGCAGCTATTTTCAATGTTTTTAGTGGTGCACAAGCACCTATCTTGAAAGTTTCAGCACAAATGACGTTATGGCGATTAGCCATACTGGTGTGTGACCTCACTGAGATTGATACTGTATCCTGACATCACGATAGTGCCAATTTCACTAGATGCACCTCAAAGAAAATGGGCTTGAACCATTTCTGTGCTGTGAAAAAAGAAAACTGCGCCAAATGTACTGTACATTTCGTTCACTTAATATGTAGAGTCATGCGATTTATTCACGTGCAAATGCAAACGAACAACAGGAAAGGTCACGAAGTCAAAAATCAGGTTAGCGCTTGGGTCGTGTGGCTCCCACTAACATAGCGGCTTGCTTCTTTGGCTGCTTTACGTTCATCCCATTACTTAATAAAACGGTACCATTATTTGGATTGAACAGGGTCCTCTTATTTCACTAAATGTAAAAAAAGAAATAGCTTGAAGATGACCTCACCACATGGCGATAACACGAAAGTGACACGACTATAACGAGTGCAATCTGCATTGGTTCCATGCAAGACCAATTTTCCTTGACAGTCATCATTTTAGTCATGAATAGTATACTCATCAACAACAGTACAGAGAGGGCCAACATCAAAATAAAACATTTTATCAGCTCCACACTTGCTCAAAGCTATTTCTGTATTCAAGAGCTTAGTATGGCAGAGCAAAGTCGGCTTTGAAAGTTGCTAGCAGTATCTTTTTAAAGACCAACTGGGCTTTATTCTTAATCTTCTATAAATTAAAGCACCGTTCCGGTGAAGCTGTTGGTCCCACATTCAAACTATGAATTTTTTTTTTAATGTGTCGAGCTTTATACCCTATAAGTCAGCACGGGCTTTCACAGCAGTTACTTGCCACTGTGGTGTAAGACAGAGTATTTTGCTTAAGGTACACAAGAAGGAGAACGTGCGCTGACTGCCAACAATACTAGAGCGTTAACATACACAAAGAAAAGAAGAGAGGGGAACCAGAGAAGGAGAATGTGAAGCTGGCATTAGACCTTGATGCTTCTGATTATTCCTCGTCACTTGAGGTGAGCAAAAAAGCATTGACCCATTCTGTGCATTTGCACATCATCTTAAGCATTTCAAAAACTTCGCTTGCGTGTTTTTGATGCTGTTGGCATGCTCTCTTGGGCAATCGTTGATACAGCGTCCCGACTAGCTCAGGTACGATCTGCCACACGTCATTGGAATTTCATAAACGATCTCTTTTTTGCACTGCACATAGTGCGGAGTGTGGTTTTTCTTGCAGGATTTGAAAGCAGCGGAATTTCCATTGACACATTTGCACAAAGATGATAGCTTATTTGAGCAGAGAACACCACACACACACTTGCTTTGGCAGCGGCTTTTTTGATCCAATGCGATACTGCATAAACGTAGGAAGTGACCACTTATTTCGAGTAGATGCCTTTCTGTTTATTTGCCGCATCTGATTTATAAGACCAAGCCTAAAGTGAGGGTAGTCCTTCCTGAAACTTAGCCGATTCCAGTCCGATGGGAAGACACCCCGCCACATCAACACTTCAAATGCACTTTGACCAACAACATAGGGGTTACCATCAAATTTATACATATACTTTATGCATGTATAGTCGTATAAAATCAATGCACATGTAACTTAATAAAAGAGTTAACACGTAAAGCCAGTATGGTACGCATTTGTGCTGATTGGTTCAAAATTTCCAGTAGAAAACAGCGCCTAAAAGACGGGACGAATCATCTGGTTGTTAGCCAGCGCTGTGGTTTGTATCCTTTCTTCATCCCATTTCTTCAGCACTGTTTTCTACTGGGTATAAAAGCCAATGATCATGGCTCAAACAGAGAGGAAATGTGCGGCTGTCTTTTATCACATGAAGAACCATTTGGCGAAGTTCAAAATAGGGAGCTGTGCTGCTCCAGCAACAACTGCATACTTCAATCAACTGAATACGGTCACATCCACTCTATCTGATAAGGCATGTGGTCTCAATTCTCAGTTTGCATTGAAACATCAGATGGCATGAAGTAATAGACAGCATGAAAGTTACTTGGCTCTCTACAGTAGCAGTTCATAAGTCAACAAAACACATTAGTGTTTTGTTGACTTATGCAATTTCAGATGCTGGAAGACTTAGCAGCTAGTCCTACGTCAAATATTATTTACACTTTTTTTTTGCTATGGTATTTAGTGCTTGGACCCTGTGGAGAAGCTGTTTTTTTTTAAGTTTTGTGCTGCTTTTGGCTGAAAAAGAGTACAGTAGACTCACTCTGATAGTTCGCACTTTCTGGTTAATTCAAACAAAATTCAATCCTTTGGTCGGTCTTCTATTTGTTCAATGTATTTAAAAGCCTCTTAATTCAAACTCCATCCTTCGGTTAATTCATACTTTTTGCACTTTAATACCAGGAAATATCTTCTGCTTTCCCGCTACTTTTTAAAAACTTGCATGCCTATATAATCCTATCTGTCTAAAAATGGAACATAAGCACCTCGAGCCTTCCAGGAAAAAGGCTTTGGTAGCAAACAAATGTTTGAAACGAAGCACACACATGGTAAACCGTGATGCTTCTCAATTGGTATAAAGAGCTTTGTGCTGAAGGCACATATAGCAAAGACGCAATTGGCAACTGACAATTTCTTTAAAAGGTCTTATAAGCAGTAAATGGCCAATAAACTTGAAAACCTTACAACTTCGCTTTCTCTTCATTGCCTGCAGTTAGGGTTTAAAAGCATTTAAAAACTTTTAAATGTGATAAAATCAATCTCTAATCATAAAGTAAGTATGGTGTCACCTCACCCACAGCCATATCAGAACTTCTGATCATTCAAATTTCTTGATAATTCAAACAAAATTCTGAGGCCCCTCGACTTTGAATTAACCAGAGTCGACTATACTTTTTCTGGCCACCCAATGCAGATGCTTAACAGATGCAGAATATTACCTCTAAACAGAGTTGCAGGTGTTCGAGATTACAAGAATGGTCATCAGGGGACCTGGACAATGGAGGTGCTGTTGCCGCTCTGTCATCATCAATAGGTATCACCAAGAAATCATTATCAGGTATCAGTAGTATACCGTTACCATTGGAAAATGGAGAGCGTGGTACCTGCACAACAAAAAAATTCCAGCATATCCACGGAGTGAATGATGATGAGTGGTGCGAAGCACTGGAGGGTTTCATCGCTAAACCGTAACGATATTCGCGAATATCGCCCACGACATTACCGAATGCGCAATAAACACTGTATATATTTATACAATAAATTTCATTATTCGTAAGTGGTAGCTATATGTCGCTTTCGTTACGGGTCTCTCAGGTTACAGGTTCCGAGTACAGGCCTCTGTTTGAAGAGAGGGCACTTGGCAACTTCACACGCCAGCCATGCTGCGCACAACTACAGGGTTTGGTTGAGCTGCCCACAGCAGCTCCAGGTTTCCAATGCTTTTCAAACGAGGGGTGGATCATGATCCCTCCTCGAGCCTTTTGTCCGTGTTTTGCGACATTACAAATTGTAAATTCACTTGAAAAAGAGAAACTGTGTTGTGTGGTCAACTGGAAATACAGAAGTTTCTGTTTCTTATTTAAGAAAAGAGGCGCTGAACATTCTGAGGGGGGTGAAGATTTCTATGACTATATTTCAGGAGCATGAATCGAGGTCACAACCACCGAAAGATCGAATATTTCAGAGATTGCAATGAAAACAGATTGTCCTCCCAAAAAGAAAATCTCGCCTCTTTCCTTTCTCATCTCTGCCTTTTTAAAAAGGTTTACTTTCATAACAGTCATTTGCACAACAAAGTAACACGTACTACTATTCTGTTCGTATTGACCCCTATCGATAATTGAGTGACTACAGAAACTATCGATAGCCCAATCAATAGTAAAAAATTTGAAAGTACACTATCAAATTAATCACGTGACCTCAATGCAGCGTATACTCCGTTCTTGAAGTGCTTTGCCAATGGTGGAACAGGATGAAGGGCAAGATGTTCTTTCACCACAATGCTTCACTGACATCTAATAATCAAGTTGAACTGTAGCACAAAGAAAACCGTTGCATGTAGTGGAACCGTGTGGCTTCAAATTTATATTGAATTCTCTGATTTTCTCAAAGTAAAAATACTAAGTGGTAATTGTTTTGATGTCATGCAACCTTAAAAGACAGGAAGAGAGCAGAGTGGGTCAGGGAAGAAACCGAGGTTAAGGATATCATAGTTGAAATGAAGAAGAAATGAACATGGGCCGAGCACGTAGCACGTAGGCAGAATAACCGATGGTCATTAAGGGTAACGGACTGGATTCCCAGAGAATGCGAACGCACAAAGGGGAGACGGAAAGTTAGGTGGGCCAATTAGATTAAAAAGTTCGCAGGTATAACTTGGCAACGAAAAACACAAGACCGGGTTGATTGGCAGACCATGAGAGAGGCCTTTGCCCTGAAGTGGGCATTGTCAGGCTGATGATGATGATTTGTCTTTATTCTGGCATAAATGAAAAGAAAATTAGTGCTTTGATCCATTTCTTGTTCGCTTTCACTTGTATTTTTTTACTCACCCTCTTTTACAATGCCATTGGCCTTCAGGGTACCAGCAAATATAATCTAATGAGACCAGTTCCACTCACGCCGCCAAATGTCAGCTTGTTTAGTTCAAAAACAAACACAAAACGGCTGTTTGATGCTATGAGCTCCATCTCAGAATGTGCGTATAACACGGCCACAAATTATAAAGGTAGATTATTCTACCCGGTATGTCTAAAAGCTTCAACAAGAAACATGGCATTTTGGGCTAGTTGGTATGACATGACGATTGTTATGTGCAATAACAGAACGATAACAAAGGGACTAGAAGAAGATGAGCGCTCATCTTCTCCTTGTCCCTTTGTTGTCGTTCTCTTTATCAAGCAAGAGAACTGAATGGCACCGCTCAGATTGTACAGCAAGTACACTTCACAGTGTATCTTTTACTGGACACAAAGTCTACCCACTGAAGAGTTCCATCTTCACCAGCTTGTCTACTGCGTACCTGACTTTCACAATGTGACGGCCAAGTCTAATCTACAAAATCTAGCCGACCACAGTGAGAGTGCTTTTAGATGTTCTTGCATAGAAATGTTTCTAACTGCAATTTGAATACTTAGACAAGAAAACCACAATTACGAGAAGTGAACATTAAGCCAGCAAAAGAGAACGGCATACTTGCCTTTGGCAGTGGCGAGGCTTCAGTTGAGACAGAGTTTGGTACATTTTGTTCCGGTAAGCTCTCGCCACTTGAGTCCCCGACCTGTTGTCAATTACCCAATAGATAGATGATTTGATTTAAATGTGTGGAAGGAAAAGAAAAGCTTACAGAGTATACAAACACACATGCAAACACAATGTACAGATACTCAAACCCGAATATAACGAATCCAGATATAACTATTATTGGTTATATTGAAGTAAATGAAGAATAGCTCTGTCGTAGATACATCACTACAAATATATGTTTATAACAAATATTCAGATACATATAACAAAGTATTTTGGTGACAGGTGTGATCTTGTTTCAACTAGGTGTGAGTGTGACAGCTATCAAGTTCATGCAATTTGTTAAAAAAGTTTCGACAAAAAAACTTTCGTTTGTCTTTTATTTTTGCATCAAGTGAAAGGCCAATCCCTCAAGAGCTTATAAAATGTACTTGTCAGTGTGAGTGCATCCTGAAAAATTAAGTACAATATGCTTTTAAAAGCTGGTTCTAGTTCTTACTCTACCCTGACATCAGGACGCAGTATGATCTTCTCATCTTCTGCTCATGAAAAAGATATTGTGATGCTTTCTCAGTATCTCTGCACCGTAGTGCTGTGGATGACACACAGCAGCTATTTTTAATGTTTTTAGTGGTGCACAAGCACCTATCTTGAAAGTTTCAGCACAAATGACGTTATGGCGATTAGCCATACTGGTGTGTGACCTCACTGAGATTGATACTGTATCCTGACATCACGATAGTGCCAATTTCACTAGATGCACCTAGTGTGTCATAATGCCAAGTAGTAGGAAAGGTGAAATTGTAACCCTTCTTGTTTGTAGATGACGCTGAAAATCAAATCGATAAAAATCTCTTCAGTTTCCAAGCAGTTGAGTAATTTGTTTCTTGAATTCTCAAGCGAGCCCTAACTCAAATTTCCGCCTGCACTTGACTGCCAAACTGAGCACAGTGTTGCTGTTCCAAAAAATCATGTGACAGATCCGAAGGACTGCTGCCCACTATAGCTAACATGCAGTAACTACTTCTACTAAGGCACAACGCTGCCATCAATCTTGTGTTGAGCCCCGCCGCGGTGGTCTAGTGGCTAAGGTACTCGGCTGCTGACCCGCAGGTCGCAGGTTCAAATCCCGGCTGCGGCGGCTGCATTTCCGATGGAGGCGGAAATGTCGAGGCCCGTGTGCTCAGATCTGGGTGCACGTTAAAGAACCCCAGGTGGTCAAAATTTCCGGAGCCCTCCACTACGGCGTCTCTCATAATCATATGGTGGTTTTGGGACGTTAAACCCCACAAATCAATCAATCTTGTGTTGAGCTGAAGATTAAGTGGCAAGGGGGGGTAACTCTAGGTTATGTGAGGTTAACCATGAGTTTTAATAAGCAACAGGGTCATAAATTGCACCCATGAATGGTCTGCAAATACAAGAATGTTCTCTGACAAGAGACAATTATTGAGCTCAGCCCCATTTATGCTGTTCACCAGAAGTGAACCGTTTAAAAGAAAATGCTGATAACTGCTGCGCAAAACAATAATCCACCATGTTAACTCTGTTTAAAACTTGAAAGGGCTTATGTAGGCTAATGCGAATATTTGAATGCTTCGAATAGTCGAACGAATGCTAGGGTATTCTAATTCACGCCGATTCGAATTTAAACTATTCAAGATATGGAAGTATTCGCAAGAAAGGAATGATGCATACTAATCGAAATGTACTGCCTGTGAAAGTGATTTCACTGCAGTGTAGGGGTGCTAAACCGTGAAAGTACCTATTCAACAGAAATCTGCTTTGACGCGAAGCCCCCCTTCAAATTTAAAGGGGCCCTGCAACACTTTTTGAGCATTGTAAGAAAACGCTGCCGATCGGTAGTCGAGGCTACCGAGGACACGCAAGCCAAACATTATAGTGCAGCACGCGGCATGCGATTCACAACGAATTCTCAAAGTACGCAGAAAATTGCTCTGTTCTCTCAGCGAATGACTCCACAAGCTCAGAAAGCACGCACAACGTATTTCCTTTCCTCATGCTATCCTTCTCGGCTTAGCTTCGAGCCCGTTCGTTGGGACGAGAAGAGAGAATTCACTTGCAGCATGCAACAAATATTTGCAGCTCCGCGCGTATTGGAAGAATTCTAAAAATTTTTGTGGCGGTGAATTCACGAGGCAATAAGCTTGTTTAGTGAATCCGTTGCATGGCTCCTTAAGAAAGCGCCGCACGACCCCTTTAAATAATCAAAACATTACCTCCAAATCAATTCATTTTATTAAGCTTAAAAGCTTGTTATGATGGCTTATATGCTTCGAGTATAATAAACTTAAGAATGTTACATATTATAAGAGTTATGACTTGCATCCTGCCGAAAGTCAAATCCTGATTGATATGTGGGGGTTTAACGCCCCAAAACTACCATATGATTATGAGAGACGCCGTAGTGGAGGGCTCCGGAAATTTCGACTACCTGGGGTTCTTTAACGTGCACCCAAATCTGAGCACACGGGCCTCGACATTTCCGCCTCCATCGGAAATGCAGCCGCCGCAGCCGGGATTTGAACCCGCGGAAAGTCAAATCCTGATACTACTCAAAGTTGTTTTGACTTCTTTTGAACGAAAAAAAAAAAAGGCATTTGGATGGAGGCCCTATTCCAACTTTTAGAAAATATTGTGCAGGTTAGTTGAGTCATAATAAAAATGCCCGTTTTTCTTTATATGTCATATGTACTATTCGAATTCGATTCAAAATTATTCGACCGAAATCATTATTCCCTTCGAATTCGTTTCGAGCCTAAAATTCACTATTCGCACAAGCTTAGCCTTCTGTATTCATGAAGGAAGGTACTACTCTATTTTTTTTTTTACTGCGATAGCAACTATGCGCACAATTTTGGCGCGTTTTAGCCATCACTGTCGGTGTCACCACAAGGTTCCTTATAAATCACAAATCAATAACACCAACCCACGCATAGCATGTTTGGTTTATAAGCAAAAGCAGCCAATGAGAGTTTATCTAATGAAGAAAAAAAGTCAACTGTCTTTCATCTTTTGCAGTCACGTTTGTGGAAAGCACCAACCGCACGACTAACTTGGTCACAAACCGACAGGTCGCAAACGACCACATTACTCGCAAAGCAACTGCTTTGGCTCAGTCTTGCGCTACTAAATTTTTTGGTCGAGACACTGTAGTAGCGAAGCTAGTCAACCAGTCAGACACGGAGGAGCGAAATGTCTGCTTATAGTGCTTCGATGCAAGCGTTACACAAGTAGACGCAAAGTTTGAGTGGCAACAGGTATAGGATGCACTAGATGGTGTAAATGTTGTCTGCCTTGCAGAGCTCTCAAGTTCCCAGTCACAAATGGTCACGCAACCGGTGCCAATCGCCAGTACACAACGACCCTAGGGCATTTGAGAAACGGTATCACCAGTGCACAACGACCAAACGGTGGCAGTGTGTACCTCACTCTGCCATTTCCACCTCCTCTTTGCAGTCCTCTGGCATGTGTACAACCGTTTATTAACCACACTGGCTGATCGAGAGCGGGCTTCTTTTGGACCACTAACTGCAACTGCAACACACAAAAAGCATACATGTGGCATTCAAGCATATATTTAGAGTCTGACTAAATAATCACTGTTACAAAAGTGTAGATAGTTTGGCTTGTTAGTTATGATATATTAAAAAACATCATAAAAAAACTACAGGACAACAGAAGCAGCAAACAGCGCTCAATCTCAACAATTGTCTTATGAAAAGAAAACGATGTGCCACACACAATTTATACAACTTTAAAAACAGCGCAAATACATGGGAACGAAGAAGAAAGAAATGGGACAGATCTTCTTTCGCCACACTGTTTCAAACGTGAATACCAACCAACCTGCCCAAATCTACGTTCTGCTAAACACAGGTCTATACCCTGTTTTCTTCAATCAGTTGCAATGTACCAAATCACACAGGATGCTACAGATTAATGCCTTATTAATTTGAAATGCTTTATCTGTCGTTTACATTCAAACTGGTACGAGCACACATAATGCGACATCCAGAGGCTCAAGGCATGTGACGCGACATGTGACCAACAAGTGACGACTCGATGACATTGTCCAAGCAGGCTCAGTGGGACATTATAGTCTCACCGGCAAATGCAACGGTAGCAAGAGGCATTCACTTTGGCAGCCTGAGGTCTGGTCGGAGACAGTGTTCGAAAGAGGCAGCTAGACCATGAAGCAACCACAGCTGTTCCTGGTGTATGCCCACTTATACGCAAGCTCCTCAAGACAGTCCACATCAGGCAAAAGTCAGCAAACTCGCTCATGGTATAACTCACTCATACTTCGGTCATCGTGAGTCTGACTCCGTGTCTCATCAACCTATGCAATGAGCCGCATCAGCTCCCAGCATTGGGAATCACCAACTACCGCTAGGCTTTATCTCCGAGGCCTCTCTGCCGCATCAGCAACAATGACGGGTGAATATTTTGTAGCAGAAAGGACAGTGATGTTCGTCAAGAGCGTCGAGATCACTGACATTGATACAATGTGACCAATTCCGAATGTTGGCTACATACCTATGCAAGACTGCAACAAGATCGTGTGGAGGTGCTCATGAAACTGAAATTACGTTTCAACATAAGGATCAAGTGACTTGCAAGATAGTGTAATCAGACTATATCAGCAAAGGGGTATATGACGGTGTTAGTGAAGCCACGATTGGGCTGCGTGACAAAGCGTATGGGTTTCTTGACAACTAGCAATTGTGATATAAAACTAATTAAATGGCATGTAATGTAAAAAAACATTGTGTAGGAATTCTGTCGCGAAAGTTTTTTTTAATGCGTGCTGCTCTGTTACATGTGTGTGATCTTTCGTGTACCTGTTTCTTCTGTCTAAAATCAGTTGTCAGTGTAAACGCCATTCTGTCAACTCCCATTATACGCGTCTTCGGAGCACTTCTAATTTCGAAACATGATATTGAGTGAGACTGAGCCTACATTTGAGTGGCTACAAAGCCTAACTTCTGGTGTAAACAGTTTCAATGCAAAAAAAATGTGCGTGCGCATATTATAGTGGAAGTTTAATGACCCAATCAATAGACTGACTACATGTGTGTTACAATTACGAATGGTTTTGGGCGATGCACTCGGGCATGATTCAGATAATAATACACAACATTTATCAAAGTAAAACTTGCGGCCCTCAGAAGTACACAGGAAATACATAAAACCTTGAAATCATCTTGAAAAACCCACACCAAGATTTCTAAATCCCTCACATCTAAATTAAATTAATAGCCTCAGTGAGTCTTTGCATATTCTTAATCACCATCTCGGGTACATTTGAGAGGCTTTGTGGCACTAAACTGCGCATGCCCGTAAAGTTGCACAGGAATGAATAAAGAAAGGCGTGTAGTGATTGAGGTATGGCATTTGATAATAGCGGTAGCAGATGCAAGAGTCAAACGTCAATGAACTTCCATAAAAAAATCAAATGCCTAAACAGTCATCTGGCACATAAATCCCCACAGCTGCTGGATTGATTTTGTTTGCCTGTTGCAAGGTTACGCACAGACAGGTTTTCGTTTTTTCTTTTTTTTTCCCGACATTGGCCACCTTTGCAGTTAGTCGGCCGCTGTGGTATAGTGGCTTCTTTGTGCTGTCTGGGTTTGCATGCTCTGTCTCACAGTATAGTGAATAGTGTGGGGTCTCGAATTGAGAGCCCGCTTTCAAAACACACGGACACAGCAGACGCAGTCGCCATACCAAAACATCGAGTAAATTTATTCAATCGCTTTTACATAGACCATATTGTCAGCCAAATCAAATGCATCACTTGTTATCAACATGCTTACATACATCACTAGTGATCAATACACTAGCCATAACCTTATACAATACTCCAATACACTGAATTGACATAACAACAAACACAAGGTAACGCGAAGGTGGCGTCGCCAACGCTCGATTCACCACGAAACGCTCGACTCACCACGAGAGGCCCACGGGAGATGACCCGCGGTGCCAACCCTATGAACCCACCATGCAAGACAATTGCTCACGCCAGAGAGGTCCGCTGATGTTTCATGTGCCACCACCCAGCCTCGCCGCCGGCTGTCACTGCTGGCACAACTGCGCTGACCATGATGATGATGAACTTGCGTGCAACTGCAGCGCCACCTATCGCTCGATTGTTGCTAACCCTAAATGCGACCTATTCGAGAGACACACGCGTGTCACGAGGCGCAAACGACCTTACAGGGGGTGATAGCACCCCTGCCAATACTTACCAATTAGCTAAGCTCTGTATTATCCTAAATTGACAAAAGGATAGCAAGAGACAGAAAGAGAGAAATAAACAAGGAGAAATAAAGAGAGAGGGACTCAAGCTGGCTTCGCTAGGCTTAACAGTCCCTCTCATGTAGCTGTATCTAGGCTAGGCTTGGCTGACGAAGGTCACCCAGCTTCAGGCATGGTACAAGGGCAAAGCTGCCCTAATGTTTTAATGCACGATTTGTGGGGGATTTGACATATAAATCTGAGTTAACCTACAATCATGCATGTATGGTCCATCAAATCTATGCTAGAATAACGTGCTCACCTTTTGTATCAGGAGGAACGGATGGCACGGCCTGCCTTGTGAGCCTGTCACGGATCACATTATTCATGAAGTCGCGGTCGGTGAAATGGTCACTGCACACTCTGTAGTTTTTTAGCAAATTGGCTGACTTTGTTTTCAAGTCCTGCCTTCCCGTGTAGGCCACCCATGCTGCCAACCTGTACAGGCATGTATAAACCAAAGATGAGCAAGAAAGCTTTCACAGGTGATAACTCAAGAGTGCGATCTTGCAAAGGTGATTACGTGGTTCCAAGATTCTTTTGTCTACACACTAGATATAGTGTCCCGGCAATAAACGGAAACAAAATGAATATTTAGAAGTACTTGTTGTTGGGCCAGTTGGTTCGTCATACTGAGGGTCATACTGAGGGTCATACTGAGTTCGTCATACTGAGGGATTATTTCTTCCTGTGGTGCTTTAGGCATCTAGAATGAACCCTCAAAATGAATATTATTCAGCCCCAACTTCTTTCTCTGTTTGTGACTGTAGTGAAGCAGTATGTTTCTTCTGTAAAAAAAAATCATCAAAAATCACTCTACTGTCTAATCTGCTAATACGAGCACAGCTTCACAATGAGGCCAAATGTGTTTGAAGTTTCGGCTTTTTACAAGGTATATACTCATAATTCTTATGAAGTAGGACAGCACCCACTGCGCCATTATTTGTCTCCTTGCCGATAAGCGAGGTGCACGCAAGATATTATGTTCAGTTTGTCTATGCTGCCACTGGCTGGTGACGATGGCTTATGCAGTGGGTGGGAACCAGACACTTGTCCTACATGTGATGGCTGGTTGTTATTTCACTCTCATACTATATTCAGTCTTTGTAGTTGTCTCTTATCACCGGCCGCAAAGGTCTGTCAACAATAAAAGGTATAAAAAAATAGTACCAGTTGCGATGTTGACAGAACTGAAGTCTCTGATGTTATGACTCTTATTTTAGCACATATTTTTAATGGCTACTTAACAAAGATTGTTATTCCTGTCAATATGCAATTGGCAAAAGGAAATGTACCTTATAAAAAAGGTGTTCAAAATTATTTTGGTAATTAAAGACCGGTGTCAATTTTTCCTGCGTTCTCAAAGGACTTCAAAAAAAATTTTACATACACGAGTTTCAAATTTTATGGAGAAACACAATTTACTTAAGCCTGATCAGAATAGATTTAGAAAAATAAATCTGCTGAACTAGATTTTCTGGAGCAAAAAGAGTACATACTGAAAACTTGAAGAAAAGGTACTTGTTCTCAGAGTTTTTATGGACACTTCCAATGCCTTTGATTTAGTTAATCATAAAATTCTGCTAGAAAAACTACACTGCCATCGTATTCAAGACCAGGCCCTATCACTTATGATTCTTATCTATCTAGCAGACAACCAGCTTTATACATAAAGAATTCTTTCTATAGTGTGCAACCTGTGCTATGCAAAGTGCTGCAAAACAGTAGTTAGGGACCAATATTATTTAACATATAGTATCTTGACGATATTATAATTACTTGAAATGAGGCCAAATATGTTATATATGCCAATAGTACTAGTATATTCTTTAGAGGGCATAACATCAACGAGCCTATAAGAACTTGTAACAAAACAATAAAAGCACTAGAGAGATGATCAGCAGAAAATGCTATGCATATTAATGAAAACAAAATGAAAGCTCTTGTATTTTGGGCTGATAACAAAAAAATTCCATCTCCCCAAAACGTAACTCTGAGTACTCACACAATTGAGATTGTTTGGTTTGGTTTTGAAAGGAAAAATTTTATTATTAAATGTTTGAAGGTATGTGCCCTAGCATACCACCGTTTGACCATTTTAAAAGCCTTGGCACAATTTTTAAGAAAACATGACCTGGTATCAAGATTTGGGATATGTTATGAAGCGTGAAAACTTGGGCAAGTTGGTTGGACATAACTCAATGTACGAACTGCGCAACCTAGAAGTAGTTACGGTGCTCTTTTCTATCCTTTCAAGTAACCGGGGCAATAGGTCGGATTAGGTATTTGGTTAAAGAAATATTAAGCTTTGGTATATCATTCACATTTTAAATATTGTAAAATAGTATGAGGTGCAATGGCTGCTATTACTGTTGATAAAATATAGATGCTAGAGAAAAAATGCATAAGGCATACATTTAATACTCATTTTACGGCATCTACCAAACCATTACTTTGTGGTTTGGGAATAATTAAGGTTCCCCAGTTATATAATTATATATAAGGTCAAAAATTTAGATTGGAGCACATAAGAAATTCACACAGTGTAGTCAACCTACCCCCCGTGCCGGGAATCTAAACTACCCCCCCTCGTCATGGAAAGAAAAGGTGGTAAATATACCCTCTTGAACTCTGGCAAGCAACACCTATCTTACACTCTCTCATCTCTTCTGAATAACTATGACCTGAAATCGACATATTCTACTGCTCATATCACGATATGCATGAATTATTTACAGAGATATAACACTTAGCCTTCAAATCATCAGCAGATTCTGTAACAAGGTTTTTTTTAGTGCCAAAACAAAACTCTTATACATCTATTTGCTTATCTCAATGGTCATCTCAATAGCCATCTTTCCTATTGCATTTCATCCTGGGGTAATACATATGCCAGTCACCTGGAGCCCCTTCTACACCTTCAGAAACGGGCACTACGTCTGATCGCCTTCGCTCCATTTCAATCGCCTTCTACGCCACTCTTTATTTATTTTTCCGTGCTTCCAATTAATCTTTTGTTCACTATAAAGTTAGCTATATTGATGTACCACCTCATTTATCATGGTCTATGTGTTTCAGGGCTATCCACACAACATCTTGTCAATACTAATAACACCAGGTTTTCAGCCTGTCACAATTTCCTTCTCCCTAAAGTGCGTAGCAATTATGGAAAACTAACTCTTAAATTTACAGGTGTATCCGTATGGAACAACATACCACTTGAAATAAAGTTATGTCCCACATTCTATTCGTTTCGCAAAATGTTTAAAGAGTACCTAATCACAAAACGTGTTTTCTAAACACTGCCGTCGTGCCTTACTCCTAATTTTAGTATTTCTTTTACTCACTATACCACTTGCTGTTGCACAGAACTTTTCTTGCCTTGTTTTTATAAAATTTTAACCATTCTTTGTTTAATTCGTACAAAGTGTTTTTCACTGCTTGCTGCATTGTTATCGCAATTTACTTATTCTCTAACGGAAGTCCCCCCGACAGTTTTCTAACTTCGGGACTTCCTCTGTACTGTAGAATTTTATTCATGTAATGTATTCATTCCTGAAATAAAGTTTGATTGATTGATTGATTGGTTTGTAGACACTTTTAGGACAATAATTTTATAATCCATATAATAATGTCTTTTTGTATGCAGTGTATTATGTGCTTTATATTGTTTTCTGGATGACAATCACATTATCATTTTTTTTTATCCAATGTTAAAACTTCATTTGCGATCTGCAGTATGCACGTGTATAAAAATCACAATTACAATATGTACATCCTGTTGTAGTGGAGTGTTTATTGGGGTGCTCCTACCGCTCAGATGTTTCATTTTATTTTTGTGCTTTTTTATGGGGCTGTGAATTAGTCAAGCTGTATTAAACAGTTTTTTTTTGTCCTCTCTTTCTGTACTACAGAGTGCGAAATAAACTCGAAATACATAGGTTAATGCAATTCCTTGCCTAACACGATGCGTCTACAGGATCTTTTTTGCAGACGGGTTTCAAGCTCCAGTGTGGTTCTGTGGAGGAATACTTGACTGCCAAGCAAAAGACGAGGGTTCAAATTCCATTGAATCTTGGTATCTTTTTTTTTCTCATTTAATTTTATTTCTTGTCTACCGGTTGTGCCACCGAAGGTGATGGCAATGCACTCAACACAGGAACGGGCACCTAACAGGTGCGCTTTAAAAAGTGTAAGCTCCAAAATTCGTTGCACATTTGTTACATCCTGCCTAGTACTTGTAATGCACACGCAAAGGTCTTTTTCTTTCTTCCTTCTTAGCTTCTGCCACCAATAATCATTTGTAATAAATGCCTCGCAAAAAATTTGGCACCTTAATGAATCTTGTATCATTGCTAGAAATTCACCCTGTACAGTCTCTTTATTAAAGGTACACTAAAGTGAAATAATAAGTTAGTTTAGGCTATCACCCTCTGAAAACTCCAGAATGCTAAACGTGAAAAATCTTCATTATTTCGTGTATCAGGGGCAGTTTTCAAACTGAAAAAAAAATGTAGGAGCATTGCATAACATGCTCAAGCTCCTTGTAAATCTGCACCAGTAGCATATACATAGCTCATTGTTGTTATGTCAGCACATGCATGGTTGAGTTGTAGGGTGCTACAGGGAGAGGGGCCCAGTGGCATGCTTTAGAATTTTGTGCTTCCCATTAATTTTGTTGTTTGCTTTTATTATATACAGTCAAACCTCGATGTAATATAGATATAACGAAATATCGAATATAATGAAGTAAACAAAGAATAGTTTTGCAATAGACACAGTGTTGGTAATATACCTTTATAACAAATTTTCAGATATAATGAACTTATTTTCGTGTAAGATGCCAGTTTTTTATAACGAGGTTTGACTGCATATACATACATATATGTATCCAGGACACAACCACAACACGAAAAATCTACCAACATTGCTATTGCAATTAAAAAAAACATTTACCTTGATTATTAAACATAACATGATGAATGTAATGGCTTTAAAGTTTGCACAGCACATTTGCTAAACCTAATTGATTCTTTGCAATCCTTTAGTGTACCTTCAATGTACACCTGTTTTACAACTGAGCACCGAAGCATACCTGCTGTCTACTGGGATACGAAAGAAGTGCAGTCCGGGCTTGTTTATTCGTCCACTGTTCTTGCACCAGGACACGGAGCAGTATCGGTAGTGCGGATATTTATTGGACATTACCTGAAAACATTAATTATAAGATCATCAGTCCCACACTCGTACTTTTTTTTTTAACTGCTAAAAGCAACAAAAAAAGCTTGTCAAGCGTGAACACCGTACAAAGAACAGAGACGTGACACACGAAATAATGCAGACCAGTATAATCCAAAATTTGTGACTAATGGTGTTCACTTATTACAGGGGTCATTTATGACTTTGTGCCTCTGGCATTCTCGAATTACCGCCAGCTTGCCTTTGTTGCTCCAAGAGGAAATACAAGTCAGAACACAATGCACCATTTCCCCTCCTGAAACGTAGCACAAGTGGCTAACATAGACAGCCCTCAGTTATTCGCTCGTACTTCGTGAATCACCAACTCGCCCAATTAACCATTGTGACCCCCTGAACGAACTTTCTCGTCATGGGCGTTCCCTCCCCCCACACACCCCAGTAAAAAGAATCCTGGGGTGCAGTTGCGGAGCAATTCTATTCTTTTTTTTTTTTCTATGCTTTTCACCGCCATTCTCTGTCTTTGTTTTTGACCAATTGGAGATGGCTAATGGCACACTTGGACCAAGCACAGACGGTTAATGGCAGCAAAAAACACAGAAAAAAAGAATAGAATCATTCTGCAATTGTACCCTTGGCACCGCTTTTTTAGTTTAGAATGCTCAGACTCCAAGCCATAATGTGACAGTTCGGATCCACTGGCATACACAGGTGGCGCTTCTTGTACCAGCGGCCATACAGTCTCCTGCAATATTTACTAGAGGGAAATGTGGCATTGCGATTATTCAGCCACCATGGGAATGACAGATAGGTGAATTTGCCTCATCTTTGCGCTTGCAGCTTCAAACACACTTGTGACTGTTGTGTTATCACTTTTGTTTCAGATAAAATAATGAATCATTTTGAACTTCATGAGCCTAATTGAATTGGTGAGGCTGAAAAGGTTGATGTGATTAAGCATAACCACTGAACATTTGCTAAACTTCATCTGGTGACATAGCGGTTGCAGGCCACATGGAGCTGAAAGAACGAAGCTTAACAAAGATCCGTGTGTTACCCGTCATTTTCATGCTGGCTGAAGCGCTACGAGTTGCAGCTCCCACAGACACACACCGCAGATTTCTGCCTAGTGTACTGTTAGGAAATCGTATGCTGTGCCACTGTTGCATTTCAATCTGTGAGTAGTGTACTGTCAACAGCAAAAGCTTGTGGGATGTGCAGCGCCTGGCGGAGCAGCAGAAAACTGCACTGCTGCGCTGCCTGCCATGACGTGCACCATGGTCTTGAGGTTATCGGCCATGCCATCCCGAGGCCGTGTACGGTAGCCTCGACACAATGCCGCGGCACAGTAAGCAGCGCCATAGAGTTTCTTAATAATACACTAAAGGGAACTCTAGCACTAGTGTCTAGGGGAGCTGCAACCCATGGCGCTTCAGCGAGTACGGAAATTAAGGGTAGTACAGGAATTTGCCTAATCCTCATAATTTACATTCTGTATGGCTTCGCATGGCTTGAAGCTGTCTTGTCATGAATAACAATCAGTAATAGTTTATCAGTTATGCTACCCCACCTTCACCATTTAGGATCACCATTTCAAATTGAGTCACGAAGTTCAAAACGATTTGTTCTTTCAATTGAAAAACAAAAACAAAAACAAAACAGAGCAATAAACGAAGCCACAAGTGCATTCGCCTCCCACAAGCACGAAGACTAGGCAAATCGATGTACTGCCCGAAATTCCCATGGTCGCTGAACGCTCGCAGCGCCAGAGTTCCCTCTAGTTAATTTTAGGAAACTCTATGGGCGGCGCAGCAATCCAGTTTTCCACCGCTCCGCCCTGGGTTGCACATCCCGCAAAGTTTTGCTGTTGACATGTCGACAGTACATATTTAATAATGACTACGAGTGAGAAAACAAAGTCCAGCTTTGCACAAACACGTCATACAGACTGTATAATGATTCACCAATTCTAATCTCAACATTTCCATGATGCTACGCTCCAAAACACCACAATACAAGCACACGTGATGCACTGTCTATGAGACAATTAGCTCCGGCGTTTGCCCACGCTGATGGATATGCGACAGTTTTCTTCGCACGCTGTTTACAAGCGTGCAGATAAGCTTGTTCGTCATGGCAAAGCAAGGCTTCACAATGCACAAACGTTTCGTTTTTGGCCCTTTGGGCATTTTTTCTGTAGAAGTGGCAAGGTTCTGTTGGGCCAATGCCTCCTTTAGAAAGATGCCTGCGACGTCACCCACTTTTTCATGGGGACGAGAGTTTCCTTGTGTTTCAGTGCTTTCTCCACAAGAAGTGCTCGCAGCTGGCACTACTACTTTCCTTGAATTGGAAAGCGGCGTCATCATGGAGGCATGACTGTGTTGCCTCCGGAATGGCAGTAGACATTGCTTTACTTTATTTATTTGAATACTTTCCATGCCCGAAGGCTTTACAGAAAGGAGTGGGGGTTATACAACAAAAAGTAAGCGAAATGTTACAATTGCTGCAAAATGGAGAGTTCGAAGTTTGCAGGGTCGATGAGGGATGCGGTGGCAGCGAAAAGGCAGTTCCAGTCTTTGCTTGTTCTGGGAATGAAGGAATCACTGTAGTGGTTTGTTCGGCAAAATGGCACACCTACTTTAAAGCAATGATTGAAACGAGGTGAAATGTAAGAGGGAGAAGAGAGAAGGCTCTCTTTTAAAGATGGATTGTAATGATAAATTTTATGAAAAAGAGAAAGGCGAGAGCATTTTCGACGGAATGATAAGTCGGTTAGATTCAGAGTTTTTTTCATGGCTGTGACGCTGGCATGACGGGAATAATTGCACAAAATGAAACGAATAATCTCAGAGGCCACGAGGTTTAAAGCCGTCACCACAGTGAGCACTCATCGCCGGCACTGTTTGGGGGAGCGGAGGAGGAGAGAACAGGAAAGGGCCAGAAACTAGCTTTTCGGCTCCCGTTACAGGCATCTTTCTAGAGGAGGCATTCGTTTGGCATTGCTGATGTGCGACCGATGGCGGCGCTGCGAACTGCCCTTGTATGACGTCACTTTGAAAATTCAGGCACTTTCGAGGCGCGGCGCCGTGTAAAAACCACTGCCGTGGTAAAACTCTACAAAGTAGTAGTTCAATTGGTTATATTGTACCATGCGTGCCCACTTGTAACGCTCATTTCAAAAGCACAGCGTTTTGTTTCTTAAAACTGCAGCTGCTTGTCTCCATGGCAAGTGCTGCGCCATGGTGAAGTACTGATCTGTGCGTCTATATGATCACCCACCCATGAAAAGGGCGTTAAGGCTGTTTCACATGTGACGATCGCAGCAAAAAAAATCGTTTCGTTTGCTCTAATCACTCTGTTCGCAATTGCAGCTAATGGCAGTTTCATTTCATATGGACCACGAACTATCCGCGATTTTCGCACTGTGACTGAAGGGGCGAGCAACATTTCTTGCCACCGTTTGTCGTGGCAGACACTAGAACTTTTCAAATATAACAAAACAATCAGTGCATCATGATATTACTTTCCAATCTAACTACGCTTTATAATGCGCAACAGCGGCCATTATCAAAACAAACACGTAGATCAGATTTCGACAGCATGGCTGGCCCGACCCTATTTTAACAGGTCCCAAACAGAAATATCTCCCGCCGCTGCGATCAGAGCGAAAATTCCCAAGATATTAGTAGCTCACCGCAGACCGCTGTGGCAGGAGCTAACTGCTTTTCTGTCGCTGTGAGCGAATTCGCAGACTGAAAATTGCTACATTTAGTGTTATGTGAAACGACCTTTAGCTTTCACAACTATTCTAAGGATCCGAAGCTGGGGAAGAAGTGTATAGCCAAACTGAGAAAGAAAAAGCACCCCATGCCTTCTTCGACCGTGTGCAGCAAGTAGTTCACTAACAGTGAATTTCGCTATACCCGCTCTACACATCACTCTTCGATAAACTTGCAACCGTATTACAGAGCATCGCTAGTAACTTCAGCCATTCATTGCACGCAGGCTACAAGCGTAGGCGACTTACACCAGGTGAGGTGCCATAAACCTTCTGTAAAATCCCCTTAGACAGAGAGCTGATAATGCGGCCTATGAATCGCCTTGAGTAAGCCTCGTGAGCGCAGCTGAGAAGCGCAGGATATCTGAGACTACAGCTTTATTTGGTTGGTGTACGTACATATATGCGTTGTTTACTAATCAAAACAAGCAGGCACCTAGTGCACTGCTTACCATAAATTTGTGAGTGAAACCTGCTGTCACTGTTTAGTGTGCATTCACTAAAGGTTGCTGCCTAAGACAATGCAGACACTTTAAAGGAGCCTTGAAGCACTTCTTCAAGTAACCATGAAATGAATTCACAGGAGTAGCTTATTGCCTCACGAATTCAATGGCAAAAAAATTTTAAGAATCCGTCAAGTGTGAGTGAAGTTACAAAGACTCGTCGCATGCTGCATTTGCATTCTCTCTTCTCTTGTCCCAAAAAAAGCGCTGGAACTAAGCAGGAAGGGATGGCAGAAGCAAAAAAAAAAGTCCTGTGCACCATTCGACCTTGAGCGCTTTTTGCTCAATGCTCGGCTTTTTCAGTGTGATTAGTGAGACAAACTGTAGTCATTTGCATTGGCCAGGCGGTGCGATCAGGCGGAACTTGCCCCCCTGCCAAGTCACAGCAGCACTTGCCCCTAAAGCCTCCTCCTACTGTGATACAGCACGGGCTTGCGCCCTGCCGACGCCTATACCTGCAATCCGAGCGGGATTATCTCACATTTGGTAATTTTATGCTGTTTTGCATTTCTAGTAGATGCCAAGAACAGTCGATCAATTGCCAAAGCAGCGATTTAAACAGCTGCTAAGCACTAAGTATCTCATGCGTTATTTCCTTGCTGTGAAAGCTAACGTCCTTTTCGCGGGTGGAGGAAGTACACTGAGACACAGAGCAGTACTTCGGCACTGTGCAGCACTCGATCGCCACGGGGACATTGTGTGCCAGGTTCGCAAGTCGACGTGTTTGCAGGACCATAATGGCAACGGTGATGCGATCTCCATAGACGGTTTCAACTACGTGTTCAACAAAGTCGTACACTATTGTGCCATCGATGAGATACTGAGATGTCTCACAAGCTGTATCTAATGCTTGTAGAGGCCGGAGAAAGCCACGTTTATTGAAATTTTAAAACACTTGAACTAATAAGTATCACACAGCATAAACTGCAGATAACGAGCGAGAACATTCACACGTAGTTTCATTTTGTCACCAGCAATGCGGTCAGCGGCATCGGTGTGCTCGTTGGTCATGTGAGAAGTTTCTTGGCCCTGTCAATGGGGCCACAACTAAAACAAATTTATAATTGCACTCGAAAACATTCGTTGTGGGTGTTAGTTAACACTCGTGACGCTGTTCAACAAAGTTTTCGCCAAAAGCAGACGATCTGCGCACAGGAACAGCGGCTGCTGCAGCGTAGTTGAGAGTGGAGTCCACGAAGTGCCGTCACACGGGAGAGGGCGCCACTCCAAGATCTCAAGGCCAATAGTGCCTAGAATATAGCGTTGCATAAGTCCTTGCCAGATTTGGGGGGAAGCAGTGTTGCCGGAATGCCACTGAATCTGGCGGCTATGTTTTCTCGTACAGTTAAACTTCCCTGTAATGTTTTCCCATTGGCTCTCGTTTTTTGTAAGTGCACGTGTTTTGCCGTGGTACTATAGGGTGCCAGTAACCTACGTGTCGCTTTGGGGTTCTCAGTGTTTTGCAAGCGTCCGTGCTGTGCCTGTGTCACTAGGGTGCCAGCAACATACGTGCAGCTTCAGGGTTGTCAATATTTTGCCAGCGTCCGTGATGAGCACGAGTCGCCTGGGTCACCACACAGCTACGCTCACCAACGAAGGTATTCATACTTAACCGACAACGATATATGGTTCCCACGCTGTGTGTTGAGTTTAGCAACGCAGTTCAGTCCTCCGGCGAATTCGTCGTTGCACGTGGGTTCCCTACTTCCAGTCCAAACTCGCAAATTCCCTGCTTCCGGGGTCACGATCGAGTCTGATCTGCTAATATTAGAACGGAACATACAGCGAGAAAAGGGGAGCTGACACTTCTGCAACACACACGGGACGCTAAGTAAAACCACCGTGTCTACAGACCACACAGACACAATGGATTATACAGGAACTATACGGGAACGGCGGAACTGCAGGAGCAAATATTCCTAAATCTGGCAAGCGACTTATGCAACGCCCAACATACCACACAGAACCTTGCCACTTCTATGAGCCTCGGCCTCTAGGCGCGTGTTGTCAGTTCCCACAACGATCACGACCGTTCGGCGTTGCGGTCGTGGTGACTGAAACGTGCGCGCAGCACTTGCAAATCGCGCTAGTCAACATCGTCACGCTTCTAACACTGGCTTCACTATACTATGCCGTTCTAGAACACCGCAACCATGTCGTAACCGTACTTTCACTTAACTATGGGAGGAAGCTGCACATCGTTGGGGCCATAACAGCCGTCGCAATCTAGTTTGTCTATGCAATTTGGTCTATCCAGCACACGTCGAGGCAGTTAAAAGTAAGTGATCGAGTGCGTGAGACGATGTCGACGTGCAGCGCCTGAAATGCCAGCCAGACCCAGACACAGACACACACACACACACACACACACACAGACACACACACAAGACGCTCGAAACAGCGAGTAACAAGAGTGAAACAAGGCTGACAAGGTGCTGTCGATGCATGCACAACTCACACGTGCGAACGAGCCTTTTCAGCTGATCTGCGACCCACTACGACTTCGCAGATGAATGTGGCGACGCAAGAAAACGGTGTGGAAGAATGTTCATTGACGAATGTTTCAGTTCTTTTACATGAGTGGCATTTTTGCAGCACACTGATCACCTCTGATGCATTGGATCACCACACATTACGCACGCTTATCACTCAATGGCCTCTCAACTTATTTTTTTTTCTTTTGTCGCCTCTCTTTTTGTTCAACTGAGCTTGCTACTGATGCCGATAACGATGTGACTCAGTTAACTTTTTTTTGCGTTTTTGGAAATTGAGCGCGAAATTTAAGGATCAAGATGAACACAATCTTGCATTATTAAAATGCAAAAGTGTTCAAAAACTTGAAAAGCGAGGAGACTATCAGCTGGGATAGAGTTACAGAAGTGTAAGTTACCAGAAAAGAGAGTGGGGGAGATGTTCTACTTCAATTTGCCTCACCCACGTGAGATAGGGAGAGGGCTACCAAATGCAAGGAGGCTATAAGCTTCAGTATAACCTCGTCGACCAAATGTACCCACAATGTCCAAGGCGCGGCCAGATTTTAAATGTGATCGGATTTCTTAACGTACTTCGGCGTGTTTGACCGTATCAGCAGCATCCATCCATCCATCCGTCCGTCCGTCCGTCCGTCTATCTATCTATCTATCTATCTATCTATCTATCTATCTATCTATCTATCTATCTATCTATCTATCTATCTATCTATCTATCTATCTATCTATCTATCTATCTATCTATCTATCTATCTATCTATCTATCTATCTATCTATCTATCTATCTATCTATCTATCTATCTATCTATCTATCTATCTATCTATCTATCTAACCACCTATGACATTTAGCTTTCCTGGCCGTTTTGATAATGGGATCTGTAGAAAAATTGATATGGTATAATATGACTATGTGCAAACATAAGTGGCTAGTCATGACATGAAAAGCATGACTTGTGTCATGAATGTCATGATTTACATGACATGGCCTGCTCCTGCGGTGGTTTCGTTCACATCACAAAATGAAGAACTGCAGAATAATATGACATGACTGCATGGCACACAATTGCCATGCAAACAAGATGTAAATCATGACATCCGTACGTGTTATGTAAGAACATGATATGCGACGCTTATGATGCGCTCACAGTCGTTTCGCAAGCTTCACATACACCAAATTTGGTATTTCGTGACGTGAATAGATGATGAAGGTGTATGACTGGTGCAAACATGATAATCGTGGCATGCGTGTCATGTAAGAACATAAATATACACATCATGCTCATATGCTCGCAGTCGTTTCGCAAGCTTCACATACACCAAATTTGGTAGTATGTGATGTGAATGGATGATGAAGGTATATGACTGATGCAAACATGATAATCATGATATGCTAATTATTATGTAGGAACATGAGTATACATGCCACGCTCATGATGCACTGACGGTCGTTTCGCTGGCTTCACAAATTTGGTACGAGACCTGACTGGGTGATGTGACTGGTGAAAACATGATAATTATGACATATTTTGCGTGTCATATGTAAGAACATGACTACATATGCCACGCTCATGATGCACTCGCGGTAGTTTCGCCAGCTTCACATATATTAAATCAGGTACTACGTGGTGTGAATGGATGAAGAAGATATATGACTGTTGCAAACAATTATGACGATCATTACATGAGTGTCATGTAAATCATGACTACGTATGCTACACTCAATCATAGCGTGCTCGTGGCCGTTTTGCTAGCTCCACATAGACCAAATTTGATATTACGTGATGTGAATAGATGATGAAAGTAAATGACTCATCCAAAAATGATCGTCATATGACACGTGTCATGTAAAATAGATTGACTACATGCTACGCTCATAGCGTGGTTGCGGCCGTCTTGCTAGCTCCACATGTATATACCAATTTGGTATCACGTGACGTGAATAGAAGATGAAAGTAAATGACACACCCAAACATAATAATTATGACACGCATGTCATGTAAAACATGATATGCTACGCTCATGGCCGCTTCGCTAGCTCCACATATACCAATTTGGTATCACGTGACGTGAATGGAAGATGAAAGTAAATGACACACCCAAACATAATAATTATGACACGCATGTCATGTAAAACATGATATGCTACGCTCACGGCCGCTTCGCTAGCTCCACATATACCAATTTGGTATCACGTGACGTGAATAGAAGATGAAAGTAAATGACACACCCAAACATAATAATTATGACACGCATGTCATGTAAAACATGATATGCTACGCTCACGGCCGCTTCGCTAGCTCCACATATACCAAATTTGGTATCACGTGACATAAATTAATAGACGACAAAACTAAATGACATGTCCAAACCTGATAACCAGTAATGATGAAGTCATGTGCGGCACAGTTTACGTCCGCCTCGTAACGTTGTGCCGATTTTAAAATGACAACCTTCCTCATTCGTGCTTCGCATACCATTGATCTGACTTTTTCTTTTTTCAGTGAGAACTGTTACGAGCTAGGTCACAAGGGTCGTGTGCCATGTAGTTGTCCACCGCCGTTGTCCATTAACGACTATCTGTCGAAGATGTTCACCTTTATAAAGACTATAGCACGAAGTAAGACAAAACACTAAGTGCACAATGAGATTTTAACCCAAGTCCCGTGCGTTCCAGCCGAGTAATACTGAGCCACGCCAACTTTTTTTTTTTTCTTTTGTGGTATTTATTGTAATGAGTATTCGAAATTGTAACATTTCATTTGGCATATAGTGACGCATTCTCTCAGTGACAATAATTGCACCAACACTGTGCACGCACACAAATGATATATATATATATATATAATATCTGACAGACAATAATGCCAAGGAAAGTATAAAAGAAGTTATTAGACCGACCCAATTTTAATGTAAATGTGAAGAAAGAAAAGTGAGTGAAAAGATAACTTACCGCAAGCAGGAACCGAACCTGCGACCTTCGAACAACGGATTCGATACTCTACCACTCAGCTACCGCGGCGGCTATCCTCCCAGTCACTTTTTTCGGTATATATGTGAATTTAAACGTGGGAGTGTCAGTCAGCGCCATCATCCATGACGTCATGGCTACTGATGTGTGTGTGTACAATATATATATATCTTTATATATATATATGTGTGTGTGTGTGTGTGTGTGTGTGTGTGTGTGTGTGTGTGTGTGTGTGTGTGTGTGTGTGTGTGTGTGTGTGTGTGTGTGTGTGTGTGTGTGTGTGTGTGTGTGTGTGTGTGTGTGTGTGTGTGTGTGTGTGTGTGTGTGTGTGTGTGTGTGTGTGTGTGTGTGTGTGTGTGTGTGATGCGGTACCAGTCTGGCCTGAAATCAAGTTTTTCATGGATGACTTTTAGACGAAGAGCCATACGCATGATATGCATACTTGAAGCAGTCATTGGCGGTGCATTACGGTCTTGCATGCATGTTTTCCACGTACTGTGCAGACAGGGCCATAGGAGAACAGGCATCAGCTTTCCTCTGTGATGCGACTATCGACGGCAGTTTTAGCAGATTTTATAGATGTATATCAGTCACTCCCCCTCCCCATGCATATGCTTGTGAAGAGAACAAGTAAAAGTAATGTAACCACAGCAAATGCAGTATATGATAGGTACAGTGACCATTCGGAGCTACGACCTCTCATCGCGCCATTTAATGGACTATAGTCTTCAAAAACACATCATTGCAATGGCCCGCCTGATTGGAGAGAACATCGTTAATCTCTGTTAAGCGTAGATGGCGCAGTCCTCGTGGGTTCGAAGTCAAGGACGTCTCCGCTTACCGAGAAATGAAACGTATACACAGCACAGCGTTTTTTGTACATTCATATTGACATTTCAGTTTTGGTTAGTTCACTGAGCAAATAATTTTTTATTGTAGATGTTTGTGACTACATGCTTATAGGAATGATTTTTATGGTAAGCAGTGGTGTGGCCAAAAGAGGGGGGGGGGGGGGTTCTACTTTTCCCCTCCAAAATTTTTCGGGCTTTTCCCCCACCACTTACCTACCTTTATTTTTTTTCGTCGCTTCGCGTTGACATGATTTACAAACAAAGCAGTAGTACTTTCTACCATATGATTTTTAGGTGCTTTTACGGTGTATAATGTCTGCACACGGAAAAATGTGTCATGGTGTTTGTCAAGGCTTTGGCACTCTGAGATTTCAGGCAGCAATCTCTGCCGCGAGTGTTTTAAGCTGGCTCGGCGATGGTATTAATGCTGCAGCGGTAGTCATACCCACAGGAGCAGATCTCTCCGAAGTCCATCACAATAATAATTTTCAATGGGCAGAAACTCGTTTTAATGGTAAGAGCCATACACAGTTCCAAGGTTTGATAGGCCATGCTGAAGCATACTACAGTGCAACTCTTCGTATGTGTTCTAAGATATACTCAAGTTAGAGAATAACATTTCTATTGGACCTTCGCGCATTCGGCTAACATCTAAACACGCACGCATGCACAACAGCATATTCCGCAAAACCACCAAACTTCAGTTGTATGCCAGTGTACAATATATTGATACATATCTTTACTGTGCCCTACAGGCTAAAGACACTCCGAAGTGTTGTGTAATGATGAAGGTGCAACACAGGCAAACGTGCAGGCCAATCACAATCTCAGAGAGGCCTTCTAACATACTCATCAAGTAACTTAGGCTGATAAAAAGATGTCGGTCATAAACCTAAAGCAGCATAATAAGAAATGCAGTGTGGGCAGCTGTTATTATCAATTTTTATAGTATTAAACTATAATAGAGTACAACTGAAACGAAATTAAGGCAGTTCTTTAGTAGCGGTGCCAAGCCTGAAGGAAGTATGGAGCTTGAAGTGTGGAGTGCTTTTGAGGCCGGGCTGTCATATGCTGTCATCATCGTTTGGCATAACGCACTCCATATGTTGCATATTCAGCAAGCGCTCACGCCAAGAAGTCTTCTTGTTCTTCCAGAGCCGTGATGATAAGTGTGTGCGTGCTCGCGCCAAGGAGAAGCTTCCTAGCTCTTGTTTTTTGGGGCTCAAGCTCGCCAAAATGTTATTACTCACCCGGACTCGCTCAGATTCACGACCCAATCCAAGTCTGATAAGGCGACTCGCGAGTGAGTTTGTCAACCTAAGATCCCAAGTAATAAGGGATGCAGCGCGAGCACGAAGGTGCTAGAAG